GCCCCAATTTATGCTATTTTTTGAAAAAAATGACCAATTAAAACGACACCCTCGTTTTTATACCACTTTTTTATTTTTATAGGCTTATTTCACCCATTGTAGTTTCCGAAATTTATAAAAACCTTTTGTCCCAATTTCCCATAAAATACTATTTTTTTTATTTGTTAAATTTTTTGTTTCCCTTTTTTGGAACAACAACAGTACACAGTTTAAAACCCTTAAAAGTCAATACAGTTTCAATTATTCAACAAAAAATCGGGAAATCACTCAAATATTGGGTGAATCTTTCCAAATTTTCCAGGTTCGTTTTTGGTTAGTGATCCATTTTGTAACTAAACGTGGATATAATTATTTATTTTAAAAAACCATAAAATAATCGAAAACATAATAGGTAACAAACTATGTGACGAATGACATAATTACATCAAATGATACAACACTTAACACGTTCACGTTCCATTTATTTTTTGTTTTATAAAAAAAATATTGTTAAAATTTTTAAATTTTGCATTTTTTATTTTTGGAAATAATAGTTGAAATAACAGTTCGCATTTCTGACGACATTTTTTTGCAATGATCTTAGTAAAATAACAATAAGACATTACAACAAAAACAACTAAGATTTTTGAATTAATTCACTTCTTCATTTTTTGAGATACTAAAGTACTCTGTGAATCAACCCATATTTTTAATTGGTCTTTATGTTTCATTTACGCACACCTTTCCCCTACACACATCACAAAGAATAAAATGTGTTCCGCGACAATGCCTTTTGCAGGCATAACACTTATACTACGGACAATACATTTAATTTAATTTTTAATATTCATTAAACTCGGTCGCGTAAACGTGCGCGTAAATGACACAGACCCACAAGTCAAAAATCATGTGTCGATTGTCGATTTAAACACAACAGTGTTACAATCGACGAACTTATTTTCATTGTTTTTTAATATTTTTGGTGTTTTTACAATAATTAATAATTTCAAGACGAATATTGATTTTTAAAAATATTATTGAAAATAATTGTTTAAAAACAAAAATGCAAAATAATTCGATTGGTAAAGCAAAAAATTTGTTGTTTTAAAATGTCTTTGGAAACAGAAACGTGTTAAACTCATAATAATTTTTTGTTTATTTTAACAATTAAAAAAATGTTTATCAATAACATAAAACGACAAACATTTAAAAACAAACAAGGCCATTCATCATAACAGTCTAAAATAAAATAAACAGTTAAGAAATAAAAAAAATATTTTCAATTATTTAATCCCAAACGATTTAGGAAAAGGAAAACTCGCCTTTTTACAAACTCGCCTACACTAGAATTCACCCATGTAATTTCACAAAAGTTCAACACATGTTCAACAAAATTTCAACAATGAAATGTTGTATACAATAAATAAAATATTTATTACAGTCATGCGAAAAAGCT